CATTTCAGTCCCTTGTATCTTTGTTTAGTTTCTGTTTAAAGGATCTGTCCAGTTCTGTTAGAGGGGTATTAAAGTCCCTGACTACTATGGTGTTATGGGTCATATTACTCAGACTCATCAAGGTCTGTTTCACATATCTAGGAGAATTTAAGTTGTGGTTGTAAGTATTTAAAATGAAATATCTTCTTGTTGTATTGTTCCTTTGGCCAGCATAAAGTGTCCATCTTTGTTTTTCTTAATTTTAGTTGCTTTAAATCCTCTGGTATTTCAAAATAAGATTGCATCCCCTCCTTTATTCTGATTCACATTTGCTTGAAATACTGTTTTCCATCCCTTAACCCTGAGTCTTGATTTGTTCTTCAAGGCTAGGTGCATATGGATGGCTTATACTTTTCTTTTTCTTTTCTCTTCTTTCTTTCTTTTTTTTTTTTTTGAAACAGAGTTTCACTTATTAACTTTTGGTAGAGTGCTGTGAAATCACAGCTTACAGCAACTTCCAACCCCTTGGGCTTAGGTGATTCTCTTGACTCAGCATCCCCTGGGACTACAGGCGCTGACCACAATGCCTGGCTATTTTTTTTGTCGCAGTTAGGCCAGAGCTGGGTTTGAACCCATCACTCTTGGTATATGGGGCCAGCACCCTACTCAGTGAGCCACATGTGCCACCCAGATGGCTTATACTTTTCTATCCAACCAGCCAGCCTGTGCCTCTTCAATGGTGAATTTAGTCCATTGACATTTATTGAGAGAATTGGTAAGTATGGTGGAGTTCTATTTCTATTATTTTGTGAAAGTCTATTATTTTGTGTAGTTTTATCATTTGTGCCATTGTGGAAGCTAAGTTTTGACCATTAGCTTCTGTGTGATTACTTTGCTGGTAGTCTATTGTGAGTGAGTGTTGAGAATAGGTCTAAGTATCCCCTGTAGATCTGGGCTTGTGATGAATTTCCTCAGTGCTTGTATATCCACAAAATATTTGATTTCTCCATTAGTTTTGAAGCATAGTTTAGCAGGATACAGAATTCTGGGCTGAAAATTTTGTTTAAGAATGTTGAAAGTGAATGACCCATGCTTTTCTAGCTTGGAAGGGTTCAGTTGAAATGTCTTCTATCATCCTAATGGCTCTGCCTTTGTAGGTCAGTTGGCACTTACTCCTGGCTGCTTGCAGTATTTTTTCATTCATCTTGACTTTGGGCAGATTCATTACAATGTGTCTTGGAGAGGCACTATTTGAGTTGAGATGACCTGGGGCTCGATAGCCATCTGAAAGGAGTGTGTCAGGTTCTTTACTAAAACTTGGGAAGTTTTCATTTATGATAGTCTCCAGTGGGGCTTCCATTCCCTTGAGACAATCTTCTTTCCCTTCAGGAATCCCTATTATTTGTATGTTTGAATGCTTCATGGAGTCTCATAGTTCTCTAAGTGCCTGTTCTGCTTTCTCTCTCTTCTTTTCTGCCTCTTTAACCACCTGGGTTATGTGAAAACTTTATCCTCTTGCTCTGAGGTTCTTTTTTCTCCATGGTCTAACCTAGTTTTTATATTCTCTACTGCATATTTCCATTACCTGATTGTCTCCTTCATTTCCTTCACCTTATCCATGTCTTTTCTATATTCTATATATTTCATATCTGACTTTTCTTTCTGTCTTTCCATTTTCTTGTCCATTCCTTTTATTGCTATATCATACATATTTTAAATTCCCTTTCTATTCAGGTCCATTAATTCTTTATAGGTAGAGTCTTCTTTAGTAGCTGCCTGATGGTTACTTGGTGGAGTTGCTCGGTTTTGGTTTTTCATGTTGCCTGAATGTTCCATTTGGTTCCTCCTCATGTGTTCTTTCTTCTTGTTCACCTCTTTATCCTCCTTTTTCCTTCTCACTGCTTCCTTCCCATCAAATTACCTTGTCTCAGAGTTTAGGGCTTGAAGTGGCCTCCACCTGAGCAAAGCCAAACTCTTCTTTGTGGCCAAATGAACAGAAGTCCTTGCTCCTGGTGACAATATGTTACAATATATTTTCACGGGGTCTCTAGATGGCACTGTGTTTTTTTTTTTTTTTAGGAGACAGACAGCATAGCCAGCAACCTATGGTCCTCATTCCAAACTCAGTTGCCTTTGGTGATTGCCTGATTATTTCCCGAGCTTTCAGGCCCTGCCATATTGGGATCTTAAAGCTCACAAGAATCCTTTAGGGGCAGGTCTCACAATGCCCCCTGACTCCAGTTCTTATGGGGTGCAGGAGTCCCTCAGCCTCTCCCAAGAGTGGAGTTTTGATTCCTGACAGGCAGAATTAAGAGTGCCATGCTTTAAGCCCCTGCTAAGATCTTCTTACTACCTTTCCACAATAGCTTCCCTGGGCTGCCAATACCTTCTCAATATGGCTGCCTTGCAAGCCATATTCTTGCCAAATCTATGGCAAGTCCATTCTAAACAGTATGTAAATGTGGTTGGTGCATACTGCTTGAGTCTACCTACTCTTCCAAGCTTTCCACTCAACATGCAGCTTCCCCCAGCTGAAAAATCCAGAAAGGCTTCCCTCTGTCCTTGGGCCTCCAGGGCAGGGCCAGCTGATCCCAGCCAGTTGCAATCACTTACCTAATTCATCAGGTCTCCACTGCTCTGGATCATAAGCTGTGTTCAGCTCACCACCTCCTCACTGTGCTCCCTGAGCTATATGACTCTGAATAAGGTTCCCACACCAGGTATGGCTGGGTTGTCTCTTTAACAGTCATTCTAGAAAAGCTCAGCTGAAAAATCCAATCCTTCTGGTCCACTATCTTGCTCCTCCTCTAATTATCTGAAAAATTTGAGGTATAATTCTAATGAGTTTTTCCTGCTAATTTTTCCTGCGAGAAGCCATGATAGTTTGTTTCTTTATGTTTATGGATGTGAAGGGGCCTCAGTTTTGACAGAAATATATTATTGGGAATTCTGTAATATTTGGATGGTTGTATTTTTTTAGATAAAATTTTAATATGCTGGTGCTACATATCTGGAAGGGCTATAAACACTGGCTCATTCTAAGTTAAATTCTCACTTGAAGTTTTATGAACAATACAGGTTCTGTGAACTTGAAATTCAAGATCACACAAGAGGTAATCTGTGGTTATGAATTCTAACAAATACTCTAATCTTCTTCTCTTCCTTTACTCAACAGCTAAAAGCTAAGAAATAACTTATTTGTGTTGTTTTCTTTGTGGCTTGATTTCTTCTTTAAATGACTTTCTCACTGAGGGTGTAGCTCTTTGGCATCCCACACAGATATAGCGGTTAGACATAATTATTTGGCTTTAGGAGTCTGTGAAAGCAATACATTATTAGTAGAAACCATACTTCATATACACTTAAATACACTTACAACCAATATGTTTTTCGCTGTTAGCATAATATGCAATAAATTACATAGGATATTGAACACTGTATTATGAAATGGCCTGTGTGTGAGATGATGTCACCTAAATTCAAAATAATGTAAGTATTCTGAGCTTATTTAAGGTAAGGTCTAGGCTAAGCTATTATTTTTGGTAGGTTTGGTATAGTAAATACATTCTCAACTTAAAATATTGTCAACTCACAATGGGTCTAATGGAACATAACACCATCATAAATCAAGGATCATCTATATAATCTTTGAAGTTCTTTGTTTTAATTCCCCATTTGTTTTTTATTTGAGCTTGATGTCTTCTTTTAAAACCTCTGAACAGATAATTAAGTTTCCCTGTAGCGCTAATAACACTAGGCAGACATCAGCTTCAGCATTAGCTTACCACTACTGGTTTGTGTTACCACAATTGTTTTATCTTCAGGAAGATCTCTTACATATCTGAAATCTTTGCTATTTTTAAGAGCACGGTTTTAATGTTCTACACAGACTGCTAGGCTAAATTTTTAAGATATTTCTTCAGAATATTACTAGAACCAACAGAGGACTTTTAGTTTATTTTAAAAATAGTATTGTCTTTACACTTAATATCTCAGGTTTGTGCACACTTAATCTTGGTTACTTTCTTTCTGAAACTAAAAACATCTAACAATGCCTACATAAACTCAAAAAGGTTCATAAAATTTAAGACTTTTACATATGCCATTAGTAACTATTGATTACTCATTTTAGGAGAGAAACAAGAGTTACCAGTTAAACTTGGCTTTGAACAGGTTCTAAATACTAACTCTGCATTCTATTTGTCTAAGACTTACATTTATTTGTGTAATTGACATACATCAATCAAATATATCAGTTAAAATGTTTTGCACAAAGATTTCCTAAATCTTTTGTATCCAAAATATTGACTAAAATTGGTAATGTAATCCTTCTATATTACATGCAAGGCAAGTTAGATAATATTTGATGGCAGACAAATCAATGAACAAATCTTAAGGAAACACATGAATGAAATAATGTATTGAACAAATAATTGTTATTGAGGATTTACTATGTTAAGTGTTGAGAATATAGTGTGAATCACAGCAAAGCCAGGGATACACAGAAATAAAATTATAATGACATTATAGCATAATGAATTTTATAATGTGAGCATGTTCAGAGTGCTTTGAGACCATTAGGAAAGGATATTTATTTATTTAGATACGTTTTATGGAAAACCTCAAGAGCAGTTAACACAAGACAATAGAGACCTTAAAGATAAGATGTTAAAAGAGGGCACAGGGTACCTCAGACTAAAAACAAAAAAAGCAAAAACCGCAGTCCAGAGATATGAAAAACACGATATATTTAAAGAACTTCAATATTCTGTTTCTCTAGAACATATGATATCTATGAAATTCAAGATAGAGAAAACACTGGAGAGATAGACAGGGATGTCAGACCTTACAGCATAGTTTTTGCTTGCTAAAGCTTTTGGACTTCAATGTGGAGAGTCCTTGACAGCCTGTAAACAAGGCTATGACAATAAAGAATAAAGACTTACTGGATGATGTTATTACCATTTAATAAGTTGCTGAGGACTTATGCAAATTATTAATATAATTTTATTTTCTGGTAGACTCTCATGCTGTGGCTGCTGGCATTTTTTCTTCTCCTGTTTGCTCAAATATGTAAGTATCTAAGAAATTAATCCATAAGAGTGTTGCTTACAAGCAGATGATTACATGAAAACCCTCATTCTTGTAATTATACTTGGATTTAGTGGAATTTAGTCATTTGAAAACATTAAGCAGTAAGCTTTAATTGTAGAGAGTAAATCTTTGTTGTCTTCTTTCTCTACCCCACTGTGATTCTATACCCTCCATATATTTGGAGTATTCCTACCATTTGCAAGTATGTCCCACTATGCCCTGGCCTCTCTTAGCTTCCCATGATCTAGATTTACCCTTTTGTTTTCCTCCCCTTTGAAACATGTCTTTTGAAGTTATTGGCTTCCTACAGACCGCAAAATAGTTTGCTATACAGTATTAATGACATAATCAGCAAGTGCCCCCACCAAGGGTATTTTAAGTTTAAAATAATAATATTTAATGATGGAAATTGCAGGCCCTTGGAAGAGACATTTTTACACTGAGAGAATTTTCATTCCTTGGTAACCACATAGTCTGTTAGTCTGTTAATGTTTATGTTTTTCTCAACTCAAAATGAGGGAGAAAAACCACTACTTTAGATTCAAAACCATCATCATCTTTAAAAAAATCAACAGTCCAAATGAGGTCCAGGATAGACTTTATAAACCCCAAATTCCTACGAAAATCGCTGAGTAAATGAAAGTGGTGTGTGGTGGAAAATGGTGTTGACACTTTCAGACCAAGCTTCCTGCAGGAAGGATCTTGACTTTAGGACTGATGGATGTCAGTTTGTGTGACTTAGTGACTGTTCATAGCATACATAGAAGAGTAACAGAAGGATGAAAGTTGACTAGTCCAGTTCAAAGTAATAAAACAAGGTGAGAGAATGATGACCATGTATAGACAATGACCACTTTTATTTCTTTCACAAATACATTTTAAAAAATTTATTGGAAATATATATACCTGCCTCTTTAAGAAAAGGCTAGCAAAGGCTCATACTAAAGCCTTGACTCTGGAATTTTTAATTTCACCTACCCAAGAATACAGAAGTATAGAATTCCTTGAATCTTTCAAAGTGCACACTTTGAATATTCTTTCATTAAAATTCTGAGTCAGAAGATTTGGATTTGAGTACTGAGAATAAACCAGATTTCTATTTAGAGGCTGGTTAGCAAAAAATTTGCAGTCTAACCCCTTCTTTTCCCCCACCCCCAAATCAGAGCATGAATATCAAATAAACTTAGCAATTAAGTATCATGTTGACATTTTCATATTTGTGGAAAAAAAAAAAACTCAATCAGCTAAGATGAAGAACTATATACATGGCCTGGAGCTTCATTGGTACTCCTTCTAAATTAAAAAAAGATATGATACTTTTGGCTTCTTATCCACCCAGCCTAACATCTCTAACATCAGATCAAACTATAAACAAAACACAGCTAACAGGACTATTTCATCTGGTGCTGCCCCTCACACATGTCACATTCCTCCTGATCTGATTTATCTCCAAGTTCCATAAGACTTTACTGTGGAAACATCATATCTATTCCATGATTAACCTCCTTTCTCCTCCATTACCTCATTGTTAGTTCTCTGACTTTTTTAAAAATGTTAGTACAAAAGACATTCAGAGGGGCGGCACCTGTGGCTGAAAGGAGTAGGGTGCTGGCCTAATATGCTGGTATGCCGGAGGTTGCAGGTTTAAACCCAGCTCCAGCCAAAAATTGCAAAAAAAAGCAAATGTGACAGTAGCAGGAGTAAAGAAAGAGTTGCAATAATTAGGCATAGTACATAGATAATGAGTTAGTATTATTTGGAAGGAAAGTATAATGAAGACAGAGTAAAGAAAGTAATAAGACTACCACCCTGAAGATTGTCATTAGAAACTTGCAACTTTATTAGTTGACACTCTGATAGTTCGGAAGGGGGATGTTATGTCCAAATAAGCATACATAATGCACACAACTATTATGTATGCATTATAATTAAAAATTGAAAAAAAAATTTGACCCTAAGTAATAACACAATGATCAACCTTTCATTACAGACAACAGAGTTTCCAAAAAAATTGCTTTCAAGAAAAAGTATGTATCATAAAATTCACTGATAAAGCAGCATAGTAGCGATACTTTCTAATGTGTCATAATAGAAAAGTAAATTGTGAATTATATAACTAGGAATCATCTATTGATATTTATCATCCCCTCTCTCTGCTATTTTCTTTTCTATGAAGTTTACTACCAGTTAATCCTTAGATCTTATTGTGGTCCAAAGTTGTAATCAAGCAGTAGGGGTCTCATAGGTATAGAATGGTAGAGCATTAACAGATCTAGTCATCATAGGAATAGCATCAATTCCAAAAATCCATTTTATTATAGGAAGCCATTAATCAACATGGCTCTATAGACCTTACTGGTGAACTCAGTAGAAGCTAAGTCAAGATGCCTAGATCAGTCTTTAGCAGTTTTTATAGGAAGAAACCTGGTCACCCAAGAAGGTCCCATGAAAAGTTATCTTGTCACCTATGAGCTGACACGTGAAATAGGCCAAGATAAGATTGTATATTTTTATAAGGCCCCACTCTGGAATTTAGACTGACTATTCAGAAAAAGGGTTTGGGAAACAACAATATAATATTTCACATGGAAATCTACTCAATCCATAGAGTATGCAAAAATACAAAAGTTTTGATCTGAGGGACTATTTTTCAGTTTAATATTGTAATTGAAAGTAATTAGAAAATAGGATTTTATCTATCATTTCTCATGACAAAGAAAACTTTAAGAATGTCCCCCTTTTATATACTGAAGTTGTAAACTCCTGTGTCTAGTCCAAGAGTTGTAGGGTTTGTTGTTTATTTACTCTTATAAGAAAAACAATATGAAGAGACTATTTTAGCTTATACTTTATATATGTTATAGTTGATTTAGAATAATTATCTTCTCTATTAAAATTTAAGATATATTCTTTGATCTAGGGTCTTATTTCCATGAGACAAGTATTTTACAGCATTGGCTGTCATCCCAAAATATATTTTAAAAACATTAGCTGTGGTTTATACAATAAGTTAAAAAAAATATTAAGATAGTTGAGGATTACAACTGAAAAAAATGGCTTTTCTTAGGGTGCTCCCTGAATGCTCTCAAATGAGTCAGGAGTGTACTACAGAGGTGTTAACTTTGTTTTGAATGTTGCCTTAAAGTAGGAATAATTTCAGACTGAGTTAGGCAGTATTTTGTATGTGAACAGCCCCTTATAAGAATTATTTTATTTAATTCACATCACGTTTAACACACACGTGTGTTAAATAAATTCCAATTCCAGTTTCTCAACTTTCCAGACATTACTGCCAATTACTTGTGTATAACCAGGATGTTTGAAGTGTTAGAACAATTTAAAAATAAACAACTAGTGTAATATAAGCAAGATGACTTTTGTAAACCCTAAATATATTTGCAGTAAGTAAGTAGAGGATTTTAAAATCCCATTGATGCATTCTATTTCTGTCACCATACAGTTCAAATCAATGACAGCAGTAAGGAAAAAGATCACTCAAAACCGTTTCCTTGCTTCAACTCAAACTGAGGAATGTACCGGTTATCCTACCCTAATTCGATTATCCTTTATCTTTGATTCCCAGTTCTAGTTTGGCATTTATTTTTCTATCTAAATTATTTTTTTTTTACTTTGACATTTTTTCTCAGCTTCCCTAAGATTATTTATATTGATCTTTTTTGCTGGGTACAAAGCCCTTCCATCTCTAGAAAATATTATCTTTTATTGCTGCTTATCAAATAATTCTTACTGGCTAAGTAGCCATTTCCACATATACAGGCCACAGACTTACCCTGCAGCAGGGAACTGAGAGGAAGCAGGGCTAACTTTTCATCCTTATATCCTGGCCGGACCGATGCCTCTGAAAGTTTACAAACACTTTGACTGCATCTGTTTTAGGAAATACTTTTTGTTAAAAATAATTTTATATATCTTTAAAATTTTAACTGCATCATGAACATATTCTTGCCAAAATATGTTCATGCCAAGTGCTCAGACAGCAATTTGGTGATTTTTTTTTTCTGAAAAGTTATTTATCCCAGTACTAAATGCTAGAAGTAAAAGGGTATACATTGGAGGGAATATGAATAAACTGTTATGCAAAAAATAATTTACTGTAAGTATAGAATAAGTCAACCTAAAATTAATCTGAAGTGCTATATTTCTTTACTTTTTGTGCTACATTTTAAAATAAACCATGATGGTACTCTATCTATGCAGTGTTTCATAAGAAAAATTAAATTTTACTTACTTTTACTCTGCCCCTCCAGAGTAGAATAAATTGTCACATAATTTTTTTCACCCCTGATGATCCACTTTCCAGGTAACTTCTGAAGAATTGAATAGTATAATTCAGAATATAATGACCTGGGTTGTGGCTACAGTAACTAGCATATTATACCCAGCCATCACAAAATATGAAGAAAGGTTACAAAATAATACATATCCACTGTCTGATGACTCCATCCTCTCTTCAGATAGTTCAAGTTTCTGTAGTACATGCAGCGAAGAATTTACATACAGAAGCTACACACCTGAAATAGCTAGAACGTTTCAGCCAGACCCTTGTGCATTTACAGTTGATGTGTCAGTAAAAAGAACAAACACAACTTTAGATCATCCTTCTGCACATATGGAAAGAACAGCTGTTGGGAAAACATATAACACAAAAGGACAGACCGTGAACTCTAAACTCAAATATGATAAATCCAGACTCCAATGTTCATATCCTAAGATCAGAAATAGTAAGTCTGACAGTCACTTATTAGCATTCTTTGAAACAGACACTAAAAGATCTAGGGACGCTACCACTGAAACTGATAAAACTGACAGCTTGGGGAGTTCATTTTTTGGTGATCAAAAAGGAAAAACCATGGATGAAATAAAGAATTTAAAAAATGTTTTTGTTAACTTCAAATGTTATTTGAAAGAAGAAACTCAATTGATTTTAGAAAGCATTTTTCAAGAAATAATGTCTGATTTAACCCAGGCGATTCCCTCTCTTTCTTCTGTTACTGCTGAAGTTTTTGTTGACCAAAATGAGCCTGAAAAAGATGATGTGCTCTCCAATGTTGATATCTCCTCAGCAGCTTCTGATATTGTGGAAAACATGCTTGAGAAATTAGAATCTGCAGTTGAGAAAACATATGTTGAAATGTATTCACAGGAAGACTTGCCAGTTGACATTAAACCAAGCTTAACAGCCTATCAGGAACCCACATCATCAAATGAAAAACCTTTAAAAGACTCACTGCCTGGTAGTTCAGAACCCATGTGTGATATTGCAGAGAACATGGTACAAGATATTTTAGAAAGGCTGAAGACTCTTGCATCTTCTAAACAAAATGACCGTCCTCATCCTGAAGACACAGTGAAACTTTCCTATCAGCAACTTCCGACAGAACCAACATATACATTCCTTCAAAGAGAGGACAGTAAAAAATCTAGTTCTGAATCTGATGCAGTTGTCAAAGAAGAAATACAAAATTTGGTATCAAAAGCTTTTTCCCAGTCCTCTTTGGTTGGTTACATAGAAGAAGCAATCAGCACCATCCTAGGTTTTGTACAAACTGAACTTAATGATGAGACACTTATTGCATCTGAAGAAACAGTATTACTCCTGCAGCTATTTGATGATATTTTCACTCAGCTCCATCAGGAACCTGGAAAAGGTAGACAACCTAGAGTAAAAATGACTTCTGACACTGAAGAAAAGTACAGACTTGCTGGCACTAGATTATCTAATCAAGCTAAGCCTAGAAGATCATTTTCACCCATTAATGTTCCAGGCATGGCCCTTTATTCTGAAGATGATAATGAAGAGATAGACAAGCTGGTAAAAAATGTGATTGATTCTTCTTTCAAAGAGGAGAAAACAAAATCACAAAAACAGATTCCTAAGCAACAGTCCACAAAGGGAAACACTTGTTTTGAACACAGAACAAATATTGAACCACCTACAAAATCCACTCCTAGAAGCAAAGTTGTATTTCATGATTGGGAATTGAAGTCTGAGCTACCACCTCTTAATAATGATGGCATTTTAAAGAAAAAGGCCCGCTTGAATAAAGACATTTCGTTTTTTGGCCGAGATCAAAAACATCAAATACAAAAGGCTTCAGAAAATATAGTTAAAGCTATTTTAACAGAAATGCTCAAGGAGGTACCTTCTGTTCCTCCTGGTCAGTTAAACACCCGAGGACTGTCAAATGAAGAATGGATGGACCATATGTTCTCTGTATCAGAAATTAACACAGTAGCCCAAGAAATAACAGATGCTGTGTTAAGTATACTTCACAAGGCATCAGGCTACATTTCTAATACCATTAAAACTTCCGTTTCATCATCAGTTCATCAAACTTCACGAAATAATTTTGAAACTCATCCCACAATCAAGGAAACACCAAATAAAAAGCCATTGAAAATATGGTTTGACAGTGAAAAGAAAATGAAATACTTATCTGCAGTCAACGTAGATACTACAGATAGTTCCTGGGCAAAATTGCAAGGAAGTGACTCTAAACCCGTAGAGGACATTAATGACAAGATCATAGATACAGTTTTTAAAAGGCTGAAGTTGTTTGTTTGTCCAAAATTGCAAATGGACATCAAACCTTCACTTGCCAAGCAATCTTTATTACAATCTCAACTTAGTTCTTACACAGCTAAAATAGTAAACATCGTTTTGAGTGCTATCCAGAATGAACTGGAACTCAGTAAGGAAAACCTAAATCTTAGGGAAGTCAACCATACCAAAACCTTTCCAAAAGAGAAAAGATATTTTGATGACACTGATAGTAAATTAAAATCTCTTGTAACAAATGTCAATGATGACATTATGGCAAGTCCGTTATTAACTTGTATTTGTGAGATGTTATTAAGTAAAAATGCAGACTCAAGAAATACTTCACTTCTTTCAGAGTCTGAAACTTCATATGGATCTAAGAACACTGGTAAACAATATAGTCTGCCAGGTAGGCAGGATAAAAAAGCTTTTTACAAAACTCTGTCTACTCCCTGTGCTTTCCACAGTATCATTGATGGGAAAGATCTCAAAGAGAACGGTAAACTGCAAGTGATAGACAGAATTGCGGAGACACTACATGAAATGTTAAGCAAGCTCACAGAAACCCACACTCACCCTCAGCCATCTTGTAGTCACCAAAACAAAGAGAAGACGAATGCAAATCAGCAAACTGCTGCATGGAAGTCTAATACTCATCTCATTTCCAAAGCAATTTTGGAATATATTCTTGCAAAATTATGCTGTATTGACACGGATACCAGTTGTGCAAGTTCTGGATTTAAAGCTCTCTCTGAGTCGCTTGACCTTGACAACCTATCATTTACCTCAATTATTGAAGAAATGGGCAAATGCACCGACATCATCTCCAGGATTGTTTCCATACTGATTCAGGAAGATAATAAAGACGTGACCAAAAGCAATGCAAATATTGCTCCTGTGTCTTCCAAAACAGAGAGAACTAAAGAAACACATCCAAATAAACTGAAAGCTGCAGCTTCGGATATTGTTAACATGGTCTTTGCTGAACTGGAAGGGTTTGCCAGTGGAAATTTAGAAACTCTAGATGCTATTAATGAAGAAAGTGAGAAGAGCAGTCAAATGGATTGGGAGTGTGAAAATAGCAGTGTTTTCACAGATACACACGAGGAATCATTGCAGTCTGCTTTATACGTGCATGCAAAGAAGATATCAAATGCTATTTTGAAGGCTATTCAGACAGAATTAAATGAGGATTCATCAGATTCGAGAAAAGATGTAAAAAATCCACCACCTGAGGCACAAATGTTTAAGAACATAGTCAATTTAGTTTTAGACGCAGTATCCTCAAATATGATTAATGAAACTGAATCTTCAGAGTGTGGCACTTCAGATTTTTGCACGGAAAATTATCATTACAGGCCAACTTATGGAAATTTTCTTCCTGGAGGAGCTGAATCAGATTCATTTCTAGAAGATGATGGACATACAGAGAAAATAGTTATCAGAGAGACATCACAACTAAGAGACGAAACTAAAACATGTTGTCTTGAACAATGGCTTCTAGAAAGAGCCTTAAATGAAATTGAAGTAAAACTCAAAGAACCACATAAATCTCCAATTACTCCCATTATAAGAAATATTTTGAAGGAAATTTTTCAAAACGCTTTGATAAATCAATTAAGTGTGCTCCCTCTCTCCCACCCTCCTTTTAGTGGTATGTCTCACAATGTTGATGAGCCAATTACTCAAACATCTGTTTCATTTATTGATAAAATGATGGATCCTTTTGTGTCTGAAGGTGATGTAACCATAGTAACAGATAATATTGTTAGAACTATATTTCATAAACTTTATTTAGCTGCCATGAAAGGAAGAAATGTAAGGGAAAATAAGTATAAAAAGATCACCTTTTCAGCAAATGATTCTTATCCTGAACACACCTGTAAGAGAAAGTCTTCTGTCACACTATTGGACAGAAACCCACATATTCTCCAGTCCAGATTCAACGTTGACAAGCAGACCAAGGAAAATGTAGTCGAAGACATTGTACAGGCAGTATTAACAAATTTAGAAAGTTTTGCTACTTCCAAAGTAACATCTCTCTTGTTTCCCCAAGAGAACTTCATAGGTCCAATGCCTTTACCTATTGAGGAAAATAAGACTGCATCAAGGAAAGCATTATTAGCTAAAGATTCATATTCAGATGAGCAATCTTCCTGTTGCTCAGTGGATCAGATTAAGTTAGGAAAGACCAACTTTTGCCAACTGTCTTCATCTAAATTAAATTCTTATGCGACAGAAGTGGCTAGAAAACTTTTGCAAGGTATAAAACATGAGTTAGATAAAGAAGGAAAAATTCCTTTCTCAACTCCTAACATTGTGGTTTCTGATAGTAATATTGCAAGTCAAATTGTTAACACAGTGTTAGATATTGTATCAGTTAAAAGCAAATGTGACAAAAACAATTCTGACAGTAAACTTGACTCAGGTCAGCAAGAAGGTATTATTGAAATGCTGTTCAATAAGATAGAATATCGAAAAGTACTTCAGTTTCAAATACAAGATACCATTGAAGGTATCTTGTGTGACATTTATGAAAAAATAGTGTATCAGAATAATCTCTCCTATGCCACACCTACTCTGAAATGTAGCATAGCTGGTAAACATTCAGAAGCAAATTCTGAAATGTTCATTGAGGGTACAAACAAGATTATTCCAAAACTTTCCGTTCCTAAATCAGATGTCATTTTGATATCCAGAGATATAGTGAACATTGTTCTTCAGAATCTCAGTACGTCTGTAATGTTTGTCATGAATGCAAAGACTCCTACTTCAGCAAGATTGCCCCTGACCTTTTGTGATACATTTCCCAAAACAGAAAGTCAAGAATCTCCTGTTAAGGCTTCAAAAATTGAAAGAAAAACTGTGTCTTTTTCATGCTCAAGAAATCAGAAGTCATCTTATGCTGAGGATAATCAGAAAACTGTAGTAAAGAAAGAGGACATCAAAAAATCTGGCCTTGACCTATGTGAGGAAAGTGTAAATTTCATTGCTACAACTATTTTCAATCGTTTAGAATCTTTTGCCACAGAAAGAATAGCTTCATTAATTACTTTTGCTTTCCAGCCTAACGAAAAATCATTTGTTAGCACAGATTTGGGGAACCGTAAACAAAATCAAAGCATTTTTCATGAAGCAAGCCAAGTAGAATCAAATGTGAATGTCTGGAGACTGTCAACAACTGAAACCATTCTCAGTCAAGAGGTCAGAGACCCTGCTTTTGCCAGTGACAGGAAGAACACTGGACCTGCAATTCATGTACCACAAGCTATCCTTAAGAAATACGCTAATGTCATTGCCAGCATTACCTTGAAGCTTATTAAAAATGATTTAGACTTAGAAATCCAAAAGATATATCCACACTCAGATAATATTTTGTTCCAAGAAAATATCATTGTGAGTGAAATTGTCAATAGTATGCTAAAGATTTTAGATAAAAGATCTGTAAAGGAAACTGATTTTTACTCAAAAGAGAATCCCAACCTTTCACAATTAACTGAATCAGATGCAATATCCCTGCATAAGGAAGGAAAAACCAAACAATCTCTGCTGACCAAGAATCAACTAGAACAAAACCAAATGATATCAGCAAAGAAAACCCAAAGAATTATTTTGGAGGAAATATTTATGAGAAATAGAGACTCAAAACAAAAAGAAAAAAATGAATTGCTGACTGTAGTGGAAGAACATTTGAATAAGTTGTATCAAAGAGTAATGGACATTATAGGCCATTTGCCTCCATTTAATGAAACTTCTAATTTGACATCTAATTCCAAAGTTAATACTTCAGGCATAACACAAAAAAATGTTCTTCAAGCATCTATTAACACCGAGGCAAACGACATAGTTGAAAGTGTCTTGGGAAAAATGTACTCTGTGGTTGTGACATCAATATATGAAAGTAATAAAAGGAAAGAAACAGAAATGCCTGACTACAAAGATCCCTCACTATTGAAATCATCAAGGTACAGAGAAACTAAACAAGCAGGAGAAAGAAGTAACTCTCCCAGACACACAGTATCACAGATTCATTCTTACACAGACAGTCAAAATGTCTCTGTGTTGGAAAAGCCTTTTTTGCAATATTTGCCATCGCAAGTAGAAAAAGATTTAGTTCAAATAGTTCTTGATAAAATCACAAATTTTGTCTCACTTCATGTAGATGAGAACTTTCCCTCTGAAAGTTGTTCTGATGAGTCACAACTTCTAAGGCAACCCAGTTCCAAAGACAGTCCTAAGAACAGCCCTAAGCCAAGTTTTAAAACAAGTTTGAAACCAAGATCAAAAGGTAGCTCTTTGTCTAAAGGTACAACAAAACCACACCTAGGCCCAAATGGTGCTAAGGCCAAGAGCAAGACCAAGTTGGGTCCTGGGGAGAAGATTCCAAAAGATGGCCAGTCCAAGACTGCCACTGGACTGTCAAACGTTCAACCAACAGGAGACGACAAAAATTTACTGGAAACAAAATTACCCAATTCAGAATTAAAAATGTTTGCAAAGATCATAGTAAGTAATATCCTGGAAGCAGTTGTGAAAGAATTTGAAAAGGTGAAAAAAAACAGAGCAATGGTAAATATGAAAGCTTTGCCATCTGATCAAATTGTGGCAGCTGATAAAATAGTTAACATGGTTTTACAAGAATTACATGTTACAAAAAAGCATCCTTTTGATTATCCAGTAAAATCCTCACATTTGGATGACCTTAAACTTTCACAGGGGAATATAGGTTCAGAGTTCCTTACCCATCAATCATGTTTTTACTTGGAGAATGTTTCTTCACAGCTAGAACAAATTTTTCCTAAGGAAGGTATATTTAAAAAAATGTTTGACAAATGGCAGACAGAATCAAATGACATGGAAAATGAAAAATGTAAGCTATTGACAATTGCTGAAAATGTTTTGACTGAAATTTCAATAAAAGCAAAAGAATTAGAATATTCTCTTTCACTTTTAAATTTGCCACCTCTTGAGAATTATGAAAGCAGGTTTTATCATCGTCGTAAAGGAGCTTCGACTAGAGCTGAGGATACCAAAGCACAAATTAATATGTTTGGAAGGGAAATTGTTGAAATGCTATTTGAAAAACTGCAGCTTTGTTTTTTGTCCCAATTGCCCTCTCCAGATTATAAAGAAATGCCAGCAAATACTAAAGAACACATAACCGCTAAAAGTAAATACGGTGTTCCGTGCAAGCGAATGCCCAGCAGTTTACCACTCTCTACCAGGAAGACGAAAGACACATTTTCTGTGAGCTCTCGCAACCAAGTTGTTCAGGATATCATAGAAAGGGTTTTAAACATATTGGAGTCCTTTGTGGACTTGAAGTTTAAACATATCTCTAAATACGAGTTTTCTGAAATAGTGAAAATGCCTATAGAAAACCTTTTTCCTGTCCAACAGAGACTACTGAGCAAAAAGATGTTGCCAAGACTACAACCACTAAAAACGTTTTCTGATGAATCCAAGTTAAGTATTATTTCCAAGGAAAATATACAGAATACCCTTCTACAGGTTCATTCATTCCATTCAGAATTACTTATATATGCCGTCAGTATTGTCAGTGACATGCTTGGTATGCTTAAGAACAAGCTAGACAAAGAAATAAGCCAAATGGAACCCTCTTCAATTAGTACTTTGAAAGAGAACTTTGTAGCAAGTGATATCATTGGCACACTAATGGACCAGTGTACTCATTTCAATGAGTCTTTGATCAAAAATCTTGCACAGGAAAATTTGCAAGGAGTTGAAAATGCCTACTTTATTAACCAGGTTAGACTTGAAACACGTATGAAAACGCCCACATCAAAGTTAAAGGAAGCCAGTTTGGGGAATAAGTCTCCACAAATGAGTGTCCCCAGCATGGTGCCTTATTCAGAGGAAGACAGGGAAAAGAAATATAAGATTTCATCAAATTTACCCTCCTATGTCAGCTCCTCTGTAGAAGACACAATCAAAAGCTTAGAGCCAGTGGAAAGGCCCGATTCAGAAACTATACCATCATTTTCTCTACACAAGGTACAAGATCACAGCCCAAGAAGACCGAACTTTGGCTATTTCGATGAGGTGGTGACAGGAAATAGCTTCGTTCCTGAAGGCAGTGTCTTACAAAAACTTTTTAAGAAAGCAAATGATTCGACAGAAACAGCATTAAAGCAAGTCATGTCATTTATGGAAACAGGAAAAAGCGAAAATCCCAGAGTGTTTCATTATGAGACTCTAAAACAAGTTGTTGAGCCAAACCCAATTCAGACAACTGTTCCTCCACTCAAAATATGTTTAGCTGCAGAAAACATTGTGAATACTGTGCTGTCCAGCTATGGCATTCCAAGTCAACCCCACACGAACGAAAGCATGGAAGCAATGAAACCATTTTTCATATCAAAGCAAAGCCCTTTTCCTGAGGTATGTGGAGCACAAAGGAATGAGGAAAAAAGTTTGCTTAGAATGTGGCATAGAAGAATCAGCTGCTTACCTGAAGAAGAAAACAAAAAACCCGAAGTCAGCAGGATAGATTCTTCTTTATTGCACAAATGGCATAAAAATAAGTACCCAAAGACAACAGAATCTCTGAATGAAATTGAAGTCATGGCTTTTGCTGATCATGAACTGGGTCTTAGCGAAATCCATTCAATAGCGAGGCATGTCACCACATCTGTGGTCACACATCTAAAGAACTTCAGGACTAAAGGTAAGAAGGAGATAACTTACTCTAAAAGTTGGCATAATTTAGGAAAAAGAATAAAAGATAAGTTTAAAAGAAGTCCTGTGCAATAAGCTTGCCTTCAGTGTTTTTTTGCAATAGCCTTGGAAGTGGGGTGATTATTTAATTGCTTTTTAACCTATCACAGTGCTAAAAGAAAAATAAAAGGTAAATATTTGTATCATTTTAACCTGAATGTTGTGTTGGTCAGTATTTAATATCTGTAGATGAAAGAAAATGAGGTAATTTTGAAGCAGGAGATTTTGGTTGTTGAGAATGAGGCATGAATTCCAATGAGTTTTTAAAGTTCTTATACATGACTTCTGTAATCATAAGTCAGGACAGTTTAATTGATTTAAAGTTATGCAATGTTTTTTTCAAAGTGTATAATTGAAGCTTTTGCTGTAATTATTAACATTTTATAAGAATAGTAGAATTAAATATTTTGTTTTATTTACATTCTAGTATTCTCACTTAAATTCCTTTATTATACTCTGTATATACCTTTACAAGGATTATATTTACATTCCCTTTTTCAGTATTCTTTTCTGTCTACATTAGGTTAAACTATATATAATAGTCATTTTTGTGTCAAAACTATTGATTATTGGTAGTTTAATCACATTTAATTTCATAATACTATCATAACCCTAAACTGGGCCAATACTTCCAGTCACCAATAATTAGTTGCTACATTACTGGTCCAGATATATCACCTGCCTGCCATTCAAATAGGAGATATTAATAATCCTTTCCACCTGTATAAGGAGGTTGTTTCCTACCCTCAAAGCTAGGATTCTTTCAGGGTGGGCAGTTAGTTATGCATCTGCAATTACAAACTTACCCAGGCATGACCTAACTCATCTTAGAAAAATAAAGAAAAACAAAACAAGCAGAAGTAGACCCTTGATCCCATCTCATTAGTACTTGGCTCTTTCTATCAAGTTGATTTTCTAATCAGAAGTGAATATGTAGGAAATGCATATTTATCTTCTAAAAGTATTGATGAGGAAATCGAGCTACAAACAATATGATTCCAATAGAAATAAAAAATGATGGAATGGCAAAAAAGAATAATCAAGGCTCTGTAATCAGACATATCCAGGGCCTTCATGTGACTTCACTCATGGGCCTTCTTATACTTGGAATACTATTTTCTCTTTCCCTAGATCTCAACATGATCACTTAGCTTAAAGCCACCCATCTCCAAAGAATCTCACCTGATTCCACAGAAAGAAATATAATATATAATTAGGTTCTGAATAATTTTTATGAAAAAATAGTTTATTTCTCAAGCTGCCACTCTCGTAAATTGGTCATCCCAAGTAGGTAACGATTTGGAACAAAGAATATTGTCCTTTGGCTAGTTAGGTTGACATTTCTTTGTGACAAATTGTTTTCTAGGAGTTAAAATAGGACTGCCATTGCAATCTATCGCTAACCTTTCGGGTGTTGCCACACTTTTATTTTAGTCAATTTTATATTGCAGCACCATTCCTTAGCATGCTAAAAAGTGAAGCCAGCATTAACATTAAATGTTTTATCTAAAAATATTTTGAAATACAGATACAAGATCTCTAGATAGCACCAAAGATGTGATAGGATGTATCTCTAAATCTGGAAATCATATCTCCTTCTGAAGCTTTTCAGCTTCTTAGCGCCCATAACCATCCAATTAAGGCAGACACCAGTAACTGGCTTGGAGATTCGAATTCTTTGGGGCTATTTTTCAACTTTCTGGCTAAAATTAAGATTCTACAAAATAAGAAATAAATATTTGAGGAAAACTCAACTTATTTCTGCAGTAGTTTTTTTTTTTTCTTTACTGGGGTGCTCCATAGGTGAAATATATATGCAAATAATTACCAGTATATTGCATTTTCCATATTTCCTTTAGTGCATACTAAAAATGGTAACGTTTTCTTTTTAAGTTTTCAGTGAGGAGAAAATATCTATTATTTCTACATTATCAAGGAAAAAATATGAATCTAAACAGCCTCAAAAAAGTATATACAATGATGTTTCAATTTGTCAATTTTGTGAGCATCTCACTGAGTCAGTCATTTACCATTTAATTTCAAGCATTTCTGATGGCACCAAAGAAAGCAGAGAAAAAGAGAAAATATCTGAAATCCAAGAAGCAGCATTTAACAAGATTATTTCAGTGCATTCTCAAGTGTTTGAGACCAGGTCAATTTCTATTGGAGAACTTGCTTTAAATATTTCTGAAATCATTATTAAAATACTTTGTAATAGTAACATTATAAAGGCTGACAGTGTACAGCAAATATGTTCCATAAAAACAAATTTCGTTTACTGTCCAGGAGTGGCTTCTGCTGACTTTGATAACCTCTTTCAGGATCTCTCAATAGGAGTGATTCATGTACTGTCTAAAGAAATAGGAATAAATCAACACTTTGAGAACAATAGAGGAAACAAATTATGCTCTGTGATTAGGAATGATAGTGTGTCCATTTATGACAAAACCAATACCATGGAAACACAGACTGGTCCTAAAGATTGGCAGTCATCTATTCAACAAATGGATCAACTAGTTCAAAAAAAAAAATTAAACCATCTTGCACATAAGTTAGACAACCTAGTTGGTAACCTAAAAACAAACGAATCCAAAGACATAGTCAATAAAGTTTTTAATATTGTTTTAGATTTATTTTTGCCTGATGAATGCCCAGATAGGGCTACAGATTCTGGAGAAACAGCAAGAACATTTTTCTCCTCCCCAAATAATCAACAAAATAATAACATACTTACAAATAACCTAGGGCTCTCCCCCAAATCAGTTTTTCTTCTCAGTATTGTGTGTGAGAAACTTATTAGAATACTTTTGGAAAAATGTACAAGCACTGCCTCTCCTGATAATGATCCTATTTCTAAAGAAATACCAGCAGAAGAACGCCAACTTTTAAAAATACTTCAAAATGTAGAAGACAGGAAATTTGATTTTTTAAAGAGAGCAACAGATTGTGAAAAACTTCATGACAATTACATGCCAGACCCTCTGGAAAATATGGAAGAAATTGATCAAGATTTATTGTCATCAGACTCTGTCCTTACTGTTATTTCCCACGGTTTAGTTAAATCATTGATGGACAAATTAGTTCACAGTGTACCACAAACTCCTGAAAGTCCACCTTTTGCAAATGAACATGTGAACTGCAGAACAAGAGAAACACAAGCTAGTTTCACAAAAACAAAAAGGTCAGAATTAAGAGAATCAGGACAAAGTCAAGGCTCTTTAAGATTCTTGAGTTATGACAGTAATTCTTTGAGAGAATCCTTGAACAATACCAGTGTGGCTGGCTCCAAAATACAAGCACCATTTTGCAAGAAATCCAAAGTAAAATCTTCTTCCATGTCTCCTCTCAAAAAACGAACAAAGAAAATGGATACAGTAGGCATTCACAACAAGCTACATCAAGGAGGTGTGAATACAGGTGTTTATTCAGCCACGTTTTTGGAAGAAATAATTTCAGAATTGTTTTTTAATCTCTCTACCTCATTGTGGTGCAAAAATAAGAACATCAGTGAGGCCCGGCTGCATGAGATGAATAGACTATTTATTAACAATGTAGTGCATGAATTCAATAACGTTCCAGTCCCTGTTCTCCGATATGCTGAAGAAAGGTTGTGTTTTCCACCAGTCCCTAAAGAAACTGTTAGTAAGATTGTTGACTCAGTTTATTATGATGTTTTACAGCAATATGAAACAAAAGTGACCTGTAGTTATAATCTATCATATGACAATACCTCACTAGCAGAACAAATAACTAATGGCATATTGTTAGAGATTTTAGACTACCAACTCCCATCTTCCCGTAGGGCACAGCTCATGCCCCACTCTTATTACCCTCTTCAAGCTGAAATTATACTGCAAAAGCTTCAAAATAACCTGAGAGAATTTATTTCCGTACCCAAGTCTTCAGCAGGCTATCACACCATGTTATCACACTCCTTTTTAGAGGATGCCATCAGAAAGCTTTTATCTCAGCTCATTCTTCCACCTGATAAGGCTTCCTTCTTTAGAAAACAGTATTTACGGAGTGCTGATTTTAATGAAATGTCCACCCGTATAACAAATAAGGTTATGTCAGCCATTTCAAAGCATAAAATATGGTTCACTATATATGATAATCAAGACCTGTGTACTGGAACAAACCTCCAAAAGATGGTGGATTCTGTTTATAGTAATATTTTGCAAATGTCTGACTCTCTTGCTTCAGTACAGAAAGGCATAATCAGCCGATGCCCAGTGATAGTTGACCGAATAGCCAGTTTTATTATCCAAGAGATTATTGAAAATCATCTTCAGCCATTTTTGTGTGGAGAGCTTTTACCTCGTCCAAGGACTCCACTGGATGCAGTCTCTAATATGGTGCAGCAGGTGCTCAGTGAAGTCATAGAGTCAGACAGACCCCAGAAGCCATTGCCCTCGGGTGTTTACCCAGATACATTTGTAGGGGAGATTGTTGCTAGACTTTTATCAAAGATTTTCAACACAAAGCATAACACTACAGTTGAGCTGAAAGGCATAACCAAAAAAATAGTAAACTCAATAAATAATCATTTTGATGAAGCTAAAATTCATATTCCGCATGATGATAAAGAGCAGTGTTTCCCCTCTGCCAATACGGATATTGTAGATGAACTCGTCACCTTAGTTTATGGAAATGTTTTAAAACAGTATGGGTTCGATCCTAACATTGACAAAGAGTCAGAAGATACTGATAATTTTGTGGAAAATATTACCAATTCAATTATAGCAACTATTTCAGATTACCTTCTTCATCCACTATTTTCTGGGGATTTGTCTGCTTCTTCCTATTCTATTTCAGTGGCTGAGACTATTGTCCAGGACATCCTCAGTAACATCAGTAAATCTATCAAGTCAAGCCAGAGTTTACCTCTGTATAACACCTTGCTGCCATACACATTTTTAGAAAACATGATCAGAGTACTATTATCTAAATTCTTTCCTTCTTTGTCTAGCATGCCTCCTAACAAAGAAAATCCCAAACATAGAACAAAATTGAATTTCAATGAAATTGCTTCTAACCTCATTAGTGATATTAGGATGAAAATCTCCCAACATGAAATTCGATTTTCAAAAGATGAAGAAGAAACCAAGTTTGTTTATTCAGAAGATGATGTTCAGCATCTTGTCGACTCAGTATTCAAAAATATTTTACAAAATTCTGAGTCTCCAGAATCAGTTGAACAAAGTATCACAAGCAGTAATGATTCTCTTATTGATAAGATAGCAGGTTTCATCATCAAATATATCTGTCAACAACATCTTCAGCCGTTTGTGGATGGAAAGGCATTATCTTCTTCATCATATACATGCTTTGGTAATGAGAGAAGGCAATTATTTTATGGCAGTGTTTATTCCTCAACATTTTTGGAAGATGTGGTCTCTGGAGTATTAAGCAAAATATTCCACAGGGTGGTAGGAATTGTACAAACAAAATCAGTAAGAGATTCAGAAGGTGAACTGTTTGATAAAGCTGAAAAACTCATACACTTTATTACAGAGGAATTCTCAAAAGCCCAAGTTAGTGTTTTAGATAATGCTGAGGAACAATTTTGTTTGCCTCCAGTGGAGAGAGACACAGTAAATAAAACTATTGACACGGTGTACAGCAAAATTTTGCAGGAATATGAAATGGAAATCATGCCCAGTAAAGATTTTCTAAATGACCCAAAGACATTGGCTGAAAGGGTAACTAAAATCATCCTGTCCGAAATTATTATTTTTCAAATACATCCAAATCTTATAGCAAAATTGCCTTTGAGATCACATTCCAAACTCAGTGCAAATGTTTTAATAGGTAAAGTCCAACACAGTATTAGTAAATCAAGATTCCGAAGACAAGCTTCAACAATATATACAACTATGTTATCACACGCTCATTTGGAAAAAATAATCACTCAGCTTATATCTAAGATGAATCCATTCGCCTCTGGTGAAGAACATGTAGATATTTCTCAATCGGACTTAAATAATACAGTCATAAAATTGATAAATGAAATAATGTCAATAATTTCAAAACATGCAATATGTATTGTAAAACATGGGAATGAAAAACAAAGTGTGATTTCAGAAAAAGCTATCCAGTCTATGGTTGATTCCATTTATGCGGATCTTTCTCATTCAAATCTGTACCAGTCTCTTACAAAAGATAAAAAAGGCATAAGTAATATACCTGTGTCACAAGTAGCAAGTTTTATAATAAAAGAGATTTTTAACCATCATCTTCAGTCATTTTTATCTGGAGATAAATCTCTTCTTTCAGCTGCAGATAAACCTCTTCTTTCAGCTGCAGATAAATCCCATCTTTCAGCTGCAGATAAACCTCTTCTTTCAGCTGCAGATAAATCTCTTTTTTCAGCTGCAGTTGATCAAACTTATCAACCAACAGCAATTGATTCTAAACAAAGAGAATTGTCTCTTATTGTGAACTCAGCTGTCTTTTTGGAGGAGGTAATTTCTGAGCTTTTATGCAAAATTCTTTATGCATTTTCACATAATGTTTCGGCTGCTGAAAACCCAGATAGAACAAAAGTCAAAATCACTGAGATTGTTGCAACATTGGTAAATTTTATTGTTACGGAATTCACCGCATCAGAGATTTTAGTTTCAGATAACTTGGATGAAAATTTGTGTTTTTCAGAGAGATATAAAGAAATGGTTCAAAAAATGGTTCGTTCAATTTATGAAAAAATATTAGATGAATATAAATCTCTGATTAAAATATATAGGGTTTTACAAAGTGACACTCCCTGTTTTGGAAGGAAAATATATCATTTGCTATTGGAAGAAATTTATGATTACCAGGTGCAATCATTAGTTTCAGGAGAATTAGAGTCTTCTTCCTATTCTTCCCTTCAAGCTAATAACATTATCACACGTGTGCTTAAGGTCATCACAAAGGACAGTCACGCCTTGCCGTCATGTATGACTATACTGCCTCGTTCTCAATTAGAAGATATAATTTACAAGCTCCTACTGCATATCTTCCCTTCCACTTACGATGAAAATGATCTAAAAGAGGAGGAGGTTCCATCAGATTCTGAGTTTGAGGATGCAGCTTCAAGTCTAACTGATGAAATTATAAAAGAAATTTCTGAACATGAGATCCGACTTTCCATGGCAGAGGATAATGCCGAAAGTACACCTTTAGAAGCTGTTGAAAACATGGTTGACTCCATATGTAATAATATTCTGAAAAAATCTGAATTCCAAGATGAAGTACAAAAAAGTGAAGACACAAAGGGAGACTCATTTCTCAGTAAAATAGCTGGCTTCATTATGAAGGAAATCATGGATCTTCATTTGCAGCCATTTTTACATGGTGAAGAATCATCTTTCAGCGATAAGGACCATGTCACTGAACCTTCTAACTCTGATAAAGAAAAGGCACAACCATCTCTATATTCAGCTACATTTTTGGAAGATGTAATTGTTGACCTTGTTCACAAATTTTATTCTCTCCCCATTTTGTCTGAAGAGTCTAAGGACAAAGAAATGCCAGAGCTAGACACTGTGGACTGGGCTATAAAATTTGCAAATTCTCTGATTGGAGAATTTAAGAAAAGTGAAATTAAAGTTTTACCAAATGCTGAAAAACTGTTTTCTTTCCCACCAATTGATAAAGAGACAGTTGGTAAGATATCTGATTTTGTATACGACCAGTTTATAGGAAAATGCGAATCTGATGATGTGCAGAAAAATGATAAAAATGACATGTTTATAGAAATGATTTGTGATTTAGCTCAGAAAGCAATCTCTGCATTCAAGATTCAACCACTTTTTTCAGGGGACTGGTCTTCTATCTTTTTTTCATTTCTAAATCCAGAGAACATCACCCAAAGAATTCAACACTTACCACAAAACATCTCTACAAAGGTAATCAGTTGCTTGAAAGGGAATCAACTTACTTTGCCACAGCAATCATATAAACGCACTTCTTTATCTTCAGACCAGAAAAATACAACAGACAGTCTGGAAATAGATAAAGGTACAGTGAGTAGAAAGAAAAGTTCTAAAACCAAGAACATCTCAATGAAAAAAGAAGACATCCAAAATCCAATACTTACTTCTATAACTGCCATTATGAAAAGCAACATGTTTAACCTGATGTCAGGGTCAGTTGCAGATATGACAAACAAAAAGAAAGAAGATAAAAATAAAATGGGAAGTTCTAGTCAAAGATATAGTGAGAATGTATCAAAAGTTACTTCTCCAGCTAGCAGTATGAAGAAAAAAGATCCTGTGAAGACAGATTGGAGTGAAAAACCTAAAAATGATGAAATAGACAAAAAAAGAAAATTAGCTCCAGAAGATAAGGAATATCAAGGTGAGGATGTGCATACACATTTTTCAGTAGATATTAATGATCTAGAATATGAGAAGGAAGTACTTGAGTCAGATTTCAAAAAAGACAATGATGAAAACATTGACAATACAAGAGAAAGATCATTTAAAAAAGACAAGAAGTCCTTTCAAGCATCTTCTTTGGAATCCCAGGAGAAAGACATAGTGAAAAGTGAAAAGCTTCCAAAAATGAAAAGTTTGGAAATAGTATCCCAAAAGTCAAGCAATAAGGACAAGAGAGAATTTGCAGTTCAAACAGATATGCATGAGGTACAGTCCTCAGATTATGAACATGTTCAAAATGTCATAGAAAATATTTATGATGATGTTTTCGTACTATCTTATCAAGAACCATCAGATATTTCAAGATTAAGTTACAATAAAAGCCCCTCACATGATAGAGCATTAAATGTAACTCAAGAAGCTAGCAAAGATTTACTAGAGCCTGTTACAGTGGAAAATTTTTCCTTCTCAACTAACGAAAATATCCCTTCCAAAGAAAAAGAAGAGAGAGAGGAAGAGAGAGAAAGAGAAAGAGAAAAAGAGGCAGAGAGAGAAAAAGAAAAAGAGAAAGAGATTAAAAGTAAACCTAGTATACAAGACTTACCTCAGAAATCCCCAGAAAGTAAACCTGGGATTTTTCCTGCTAAACTTTTAGAAGATGTTATTACTGAGATGGTTAACAAATTGATTTTTTCTTCCTTACCTGAAACGCAAACACATGATAGATGTCAAAATATAAATGATGATGAAAATCAAGCTGAACTCTACGATACTGCTATGAAACTTATTGATTCACTGCTCAAGGAGTTTTCAGATGCTCAAATTAAGGTATTTAGGCCGGATAAGGGAAATCAACGTCCTCCACCTATCGGCAGAGAATCTTCAGTTTCTAAAATGCCTTCCAGCCATAAAAAACCAAGTACAGATGAAACACCACCCAGTGTTAAAATAAAAACTGAGGATAATCTTCCATGTCCACAGAAAATGTCTCAAATATCCTCTTCAGATAAGATATCTTCCATAGAAAAAATACCATCAGTTGATAAAACATTTGTCAATAAAGTTGTTCACTCCTCCGTGTGCAACATTTTGAAGGAATATAAATCACAAGACTCCATTTGTAAGAATATAAACAGTGATGGAGAAAATCTAGCAAGGCAGCTATCTAGTGCGGTGATAAATGAAATTTTTCAGCATCAGCTTAACTTGATATTTTGTGATGATATTCCAGTTTCAGCATGTCTGCCTCTGGAATCAAAGGATGTTTTTAAAAAAGTCCAAAGGGTGGCCAAAACAGCCAGCAAAGAATGCCAAACATCATCACCATATACCATCATGTTGCCTCATAAATTTTTAGAGAATGTGATTTCTGCTCTTTTATCTAAATTTTTCTCAAGAATATCCAGTACCAAAGCAAAACACTTTGGAAGTTATTTGTTCACAGAACTAGATGTCCTTCATATGAAGTTAGTGAGTACAGTCGCAGCCCACATCTCGAAAAATGAAGATATGACTATCCAGTATGTAGAACCCTTACAGTCCAATGATGATGAAATTATTCAATTAGTGGCTCAGTCTATTTATAATAATCTCTTGCCGCAGTTTGGATCAGAAGAGATTATACAAAATTGTGTGACTAGTGGCTGCAAAATCCTTTCAGAAACCATAGTTGACTTAGTTCTCCAAGAAGTGGCTAGCAATCAGATGCAGAACTATTTTTGTGGAGACCTAACGCCAAATCAGTGTGCGGAAGTTGAAAGGGTTGTTGAAAATATCCTTAAAGAAGTTATCCGAACTCCCAACGTTCCCCCACGTGAATCATCACATGCTCATAAACTGTCTTATAACATAGTAGAAGAAATTGCCGTAAAATTTTTATCAAAGCTTTTATCTGTGTTTCCAAACGTGCATAAGGAACGAGGCAAATCCCCAGAAACTGAAATGCAAAAAATATCCTCAAAAATATTAAATTCAGTCCAAGAATTTATCTCTAAAAGTAAGATTAAACTTGTAGCAGCAGGCAAGGAACCACCTACTGTGCCTTTGGCTGACAACGCAGTTATTGACAAAGTAGTGAATTCTGTTTATACAAGTGTTTTAAAGCACTCTGGTTCTCTTGCTTCTGTATTTAAAGATTTAATGAGTCAGAGCAATGCCCTCTCTGATATAATAGGTTTTTTAATGGTGAAGGAAATTTCTAATTCCAAATTTCAACCTCAAGAAGAGGAAGACGTATCAAGTACAGAGTTAGTTCTGGAAGCTGTCAAAATTATGGAAAAAGTGGTCAAAATTATTGATAAATTTAACTTTCAGGAAAAGGCTTCATGCAGAAAAGATTCTACATTAGATGCCAGGTTTTTAGAGGAAACATTGGCCTTGTTGTTGGCTAAACTAGTGAAGCTTCCAGGAACCTCAATTGAAGATGAAAAAAACTTACCACAGCCTGAGTTAAATAAAATTGCATCGCAACTGACAAAATCTGTAACAGCTGAAATCTCTAAAAGTAACATTAGTCTTGTTGCTGACGATTCCAAAAAACAAGTTTTAAATACAGAAAACATAGAAAAGATTTCTCATGTAGTGGATTCTGTTTATAGTGATGTCCTACAACAATCTGGAACCCCAAAAGAACTTTATTATGATATCAGAGATTCAAACACAGTTTTCCCTAAAAAAGTGGCTAGTTTAATTGTTGATAAAGTTTCAGGTTTTTCATCAGATACAAGTAGTTCAAAACAGCTAACTGCTGATAACTCTAGGAAGCTAGATGTTAATAGAATTGTTCGAAAGGCACGATCACACTCTGAGAATACAGTCTCTGACACAGACAAAGAGGAATCAGACCAAGAATCACCGGAAGAGGAATTTTCAGCTGAAATAGTTCCACATGTTGGGAAAAGAGCAATTAAAGTAGATCCACGTATTGTTTCTGAACACTTAGCAGTCATTTCTGTAAAAACGCAACCCCTTGAGAAGCTTAAGATGGAGTGTTTAAGAAATACTGGACATAGTATAGCAGAACTGCGAAGAGCTTCAATAACTGGTAGAAATTACTCAGACACTTCTTATACGGGAGAGAGAAAGAGGGAAAGACGCACCTCGTTGGATAGGACTGGAAGACTGGATGTAAAACCCTTAGAGGTGAGTGCAAAAGTGATGGCCGTGATTTCCTTCCTCAAATAGGTAAATGAGAATGCATTTTTTGTTGTTGTTGCCCAGCCCAACAAAACTGGTTGCACCACTTCATCCATATAATTTACTGTGATTACTTGGACTTGCCACATTAGTTTGGTGGTTCACTCGAAAAGTCTCAGGCTGGTTTTTCTAAAACAACCCATTTGAACTGCCTTTTTTTTTTTTTTTTTTTTTTTTTGAGACAGAGTTTCACTACATTGCCCTTGGTAGAGGGGCGGGCCATGGCGTCACAGCTTACAGCAATCTCAAACTCTTGAGCTTAAGCGATTCTCTTGCCTCAGTCTCCCAAGTAGCTGGGACTCCAGGCGCCCACCACAATGCCCTGCTATTTTTTTTTTTTGGTTGTTGTTGTTGTAGTTGTCGTTGTTTAGCAGGCCAATGTCAGGTTTGAACCGTCTGGCCTTGGTGTATATGGCTGATGCCATCACCACTGTGATACTGGTGTCAAGTCCCATCGAAGTTGTTACAAAAATTAACCTGATCACTTTTTTATGACTGTGTAGTACTCCATGGAATATATATACCAAATTACATTAATTCACTTGTATTGATGGACAGTTGGGTTGTTTCCACATATTTGCAATTGTGAATTGTTTTATAAAATGTCTTTTTTGTTTTTGAGGAAATGAAAATGTAAGAACATATTCTCAACAGTAAAATCAGATTGACTGAAGTTATAATTGTCATTTGAAAATGCAGAAGAAATAATTTTATATAATTTATTCAGTTATTCAACATGAATACCCCAAAGGGCCAGTTAATAGAATATCAGGATATATAGAATGATCTAAAATAGTTTTCATTCTCAGATTTAAAGCTCTACACTAGCACTCTTTTTTTTAAGCAAGACTCATTAGCAAACATTAGATTGCAAACTATTATATTACATTTGTTCTTATTATTTCACTTTAGTTATGTTAGTCTTTCTCATTTGTGCTATACTCGAAGATGCACCCAACTTCTTTCCTCTTTTCCTTGTTCTGACTTAGCTGCCCTAATGCTGCTATTTTATGAACTTGTTTTCTCTTGCTGTAGACCTAGCACTGCCCTGTAGTGCTACATTTGGACCCCAAATGCATATATGAAACTAATTGAGAATTCAAAATACCAATCAGACTACTGCTGAGGACAAAAGATTTCTTTAGCCGATAAATAGAGTCACATTGACCCTCAAACATTCTGATCTGTATCCAAACTTCTTGCTCTGATGGTAAGAGGACTGAGTTTGCTTAAGGATGTAGTCTATGTCCTAGTCACTGAGCAAAGTTTTATAGAACCATCCCTTCCAGAGTATAAACTCAGAGTGATTTTTTTCTAACACTGCTGTGCCGCTCGTTGAACTAAATCTCAAGATTGGCAAATATGTTAATTAATTTTTTTTGTTTTCAGACCCCAAACTTAGATTATCATTGTCTGGGACTAACCTTCAGTTTTTGGAGAAAAGGAACCAATCACGGTCTTACTCAACTCCAAAATTTCTTCTTCCGTCTGGGTTCTCATCATTATATTAGCAGATACTTGGTCGTTTCCATTCACATATAAGTAATCTCTTGGGAGTAATATTTCTGTGAATAGTTTATAGAATAACATTATGCCAAATCAGTTTTTAATTATCTGTAGAACTGTCTACAAAAGATACCAGCTCTCTTTGAGTTATTCCGAAACCACAGAAAGTAGTAAGAGAATATTTAACCAAAACAAACACCTTAGTCCTCTTATGGGAAGGAAAAGTCATCCCGAAAATAAAACAAAGAATCAGACATAGGGAACTTAGTTAAGGCATGTTATTTACACCAATTTAAATACTAATGTTTCCTATTTTCAGCAAAGGAACAGAGAAGAGACAGAGAAACAGAAATTTAAACTAGATTCTCTTTGGTTCTGCCTCAAGGCTTAATTCTCTGTTTTGTTTTTTGGTTTATTTTATTTTATTTTGAGACAATCTCACTTAGTCGACCTTGGTAGAGTACTGTGGCATCACAGCTCACAACAACCTCCAATTCTTGGGCCAAATTGACTGTCTTGCCTCAGCTTCTTGAATAGCTGGGACTACAGGTGCCTGCCACAACGTCCAGTTATTTTTGTTGCAGTTGTCACTGCTGTTTTAGCCAGCCAGGGACGGGTTTGAACCCACCACCCTCAGTATATGAGGCCAGCGCCCTACCCGCGGAGCTACAGATGCTGCCCTAATTCTCTGTTTTGAGATACCATACACACACACACACACACACACACACACACACACATATATATATTAAATTTCAGAATACTATGGGGATTGTACATGTTTTGGTTGCATAATTTGCTTTTGTACAATTTGATTTAAAGTTATAACTGTGCTTTTCACCCAGAAATTGTGTGCTGTACTGGTTATGTGTTAATTTACCTAGGCCCTCTTCCCCCTCCCACTCACTTAATTTCTGATTAGTTTTCCTTCCCTGTCAGGAAGGAAACTAGCTCTAATTTAGCATTAAGTAAATGTAGTGTGGGTTTGCCCATTCTTGTGATACTTCACTTAAAAGAATGATCTCCAGTCCCATCCAGGTTGTTACAAAAGTTACCTGATCACAATTTTTTATGACTGTGTGGTACTCCATGGAATATACATACCAAATTGTATTAATTCACTTGTATTGGTAGGTAGTCAAGTTGTCTTTGCAATTGTGAATTGTGCTGCTACAAATATTCAAATGTCATTTTTATAAAATGTCCTTTTATTTCTTTTGGTTAAAGACAGAAACTTTTGGGTAAAGTTGTAAGTGTGCCCCTCACCCAGGTCTTTTGGGTAAAGACCTAGCAGTGAGATAGCTGTATCAAATGGTAGATCTACTTTTTGTTCTTTGTGGTATCTCCAATGTACTTTCCATAGATATTGTAATAGTTTGCACTCCCACCAACAGTGTACAAGTATTGCTTTCTTTACTCATCCATATCAGCACTGAATGTTTTGGGACTTTCTGGTAAGAGCCATTCTCACTGCAATTAGGTGATATCTCATTGTGGTTTTGATTTGCATTTCCCTAATGATTAGACATGTTGAGCTTTTTTTTTTTGTTGTTTGTTTGTTTGTTTGAGACAGAGTCTCAAGCTGTTGCCCTGGGTAGAGTGTGTGGATCATAGTTCACAGCAACCTCAAGCTCTTGGGCTGAAGTGATTCTTTTGCTTCGGCCTCCCAAGTAGCTGGGACTACAGGCAACTGCTACAATACCCGGCTATTTTTTTGTTGCAGTTGACCTTGTTGTTTTAGCTGGCCCAGGTCAGATTCGAACCTGCCAACCTCGATGTATGTGGCTGGCTCCCTACTCACAGAGCTATGGGCACCACACAATGTTCAGCATTTTTTTATGTCTTTTTGGCCATAGACATAAAAGTTTGTATTTCTCTTTTATTCACTTTTTAATATTTTAGATTAATATGAGTGATGATTAGGTTACATGGTTTGTGTTTGTTAGGTAAAGTTCAAGTTGTCGTTGAGCCCTTCACCCAGGGGATGTGCTATATACTCTTATATTGTGCCCATTAGGTGAGAACAAGTCAATCTCCTTCTGTCATTCCTTCTCCACTTTCCCTCCTCCCCCTATTTGAATTTAATTGTGTTTTTCTCTCATAAGGGTGTAGGTGTTTATCTATTGGTTTTATATTAGTATTGCATACATTGGATACTTGTTTTTTCATTCTTATGCTACTTTACTAAGAAAAATTCTCTTCACCTCCATACAGGTAAATACAAAATATGTAAAGTCTCCATCATTTTTATGGCTGAATAGTATTCCATGGTATACATATACCACAGTTTATTGATCCATTCATATGCTGATGGACACTTGGGTTTTTTCCACTTTTTGGTGATTGTGCATTGAGCTACAATAAACATTCTAGTGTAAAATGTCCTTATGTAAAATGATGTTTTTATTTCTGATGGATACCTACTAATAGGATTATAAGATCAAATGCAAAGTCTACTTTTGGCTTTTGGAGATTTTGCCATACTTCTTTCCATAGAGGCTATATTAGTTTGCAATTTGTCTAGCAATGTAAAATGTTTCCTTCTCTCTTCAGCCATACCAGCATCTGTAGGTTGGGACATTGTGATGTACACTATTCTCACTGTGTTTAGGTGATAATCTTAGGGTGGTTTTGGTTTTCATTTCTCTGATAATCAGGGATAATAAGTATTTTTTCTTATGTTTGTTGTCCATTTGTCTGTCTTCTTAAGAGAAGTTTCTGTTCAATTCTCTTACTCTGTTCTAAATAAGATTGTTACTTGGCTCTTTTCTTATTGATTAGTTTAAGTTCTCTGTAGATTCTAGTTATCAGCCCTTTGTCACATTTGCAGCATGTGTATGTCTTCTCCCATTCTGATATTGTCTGTATGCTTTAATTGTTTTGCCCTTAGTTGTGCAGAAGCTTTTTGGTTTGATCATGTGCTATTCATTTAATTTTGGTGTTACTGTAACTGCCAAAGGGGTCTCCTTCATAAAATCCTTTCCTAAGACATTATTGTTAAGTTTTCCCCACACTTTGTTCTAGAATATTTATTTGTGTCTTGAATTTAAATCTTTTATCCAGGGAGAGTAAATTTTTGTAAATTTTTAGAGGTGCAGATTCAGTTTTAGTCTTCTACATGTGGCTAGCCAGTTTTCCCAGCATCATTTATTAAATAGAGATTTTTTCCCCCAGTGTATACATTTATTTAGTTTATCAAAGCTCAGATGGCAACATTTGAATGGATTCATCTCTAGATTCTTTTCCTCTATTCCATATCTCTATTTGTGGGCCAGTAGCATGCTGTTTTGATCACTGTTGAATTATAGTATAACCTGAAATCTGATAATGTCCTGTGTCCTGATTTTTTTTTTTTTTATTTCTTAGAATTGCATTGTCTATTTGGGTTGTTTTCTGGTTCCATATGAAACAAAGTACTACTTTTTCAAGAGCTTCAAAGT